ACCCGTCACCATGAGCACCGAGCGACCCACCGTCCGGCGTGGGTTTCAGGTCCCTGCAGCCTCAGGCTGGTGGGGGCAGCCCCTCAGCTTAGTGCAGATTTCAGCACCCGGCAGCTGACTTAGCAACCGGCCTGTAAGTCCCCCTCCCCGCCTCCACCAGCATCACCTGTGTCAGCAGGTATAGAATGTGACCCTGGAGGGACACGGGCACGTGGGGGTGGGAGTGGGGGAGGATGACCCGAGAGGGATGGAGGGCTGGCCCCTAAGTGCCACCTGAGGCTGAGCCGGGCGTTTACCACCATCCCCTTCCCCGAAGACAGCCCCCTCCACCCCCCAGAGGGGGCCGCCGCCCACGCACGCCCTGCGCCTCGGGCGGAGGGCTACCTGCAGGATCTCAATGATCTTCAGCTTGGTGTCCATGACCATGATGTCCTCCTTCTCTGGCTCCGCCTGCTTCACGTTGCCTTCGGGGGCGGCGGCCATGGGGGTCACGGGCAAGAAGCCCCCTCCCCGTAGCACCACCTGGGTCATCAGCTCCCCGACCCCGTGGATGGACCGCATCACGTTGCTGCCTGGAGGGGCCAGACAGACCTGGGTCACGACCCCATCCTGGGTCCTCAGCTCCCCGGCCCCGGCTTGGACCGCATCATGTGACTGCCCAGAGGGGGTGGGAGAGACGTCGGTCATGACAACGCCCCTACAGAGCGCTCCGAGGGTCCTGGCACGGGCCACAGGCTCCCTTAGACACACCGTTTAACACGCCTCTGTTCCGGGACATTCTCAGACCCCGGGGACCTGTGAAGGTGAATGCCCATCAAATGCCAGGGGCTTCGGGGAGCAGGGGCACAGGTGGTCTGAAACCCCCACGGGAGCATTCTGTGCACGAATCCACCTGCCACATTCTACTGGCCACCTCCCTTCGAATGGCTCAGCAGGATACACAGGACTCATAAAATACAAAGGAAATACATAAAAATGTGAGTCATCTCTGACTGTAAGCTGTGGGTCTCTGGTGTCTAAAGCACTATTCTCTCTTTATATTTGAAATGTTCGCAGTGAAAAGTCAAAAAGAAAGGACAGGACAGGCCTGGCCGGTGTGGCTCAGTGGTTGAGCATCAACCCATGCACAGCAAGTCACAGTTCAATCCCCGGTCAGAGGACATGCCCAGGTTGTGGGCTCGATCCCCAGTGTGGGGCGTGCAGGAGGCAGCCGATCCACGATTCTCTCTCATCATTGATGTTCCTCTCTCTCTCGCTCCCTTTCCCTTCCTCTCTGAAATCAATAAAAATGTATTAAAAAATATTTTTTTTAAAAAAAGCAAGGACAGGACACCAGGGTGAAGGCTGCCCTGGAGCCGGGCGGCCACTCCTGCTCAGGGCCCCGCCCTGCCCCCACCTTTGTTCTCTTCTCCCTTCGCCATCTTGCTGATGGGGAAGATGGTGGTCACGTGCACGCAGTCCAGGATGGCCAGGAGGATTTTGGTCAATCGCAGAAGGTCAGAGAAGTTGTAGAAACCAAAGTAGATGAGATTCCTCGCTAAGTTCACAACCTGTCGTATTCAAAGGGAGAGAGAGAGAAGGGGGAAGGTGGCATTAAACACACTGCGTCCTTCGGGCCCACTTTGCACCAACCAGCGCGTCAATGCCCGAGGCCTGCCTTCCTTATGCTGAGACATTCGTCTGGCTTACAATTCTGATCAAATTTCATTTTGTCTCATGAGGAAGAAGATACAAGAACCGAAAACCTGCCAAGCGACTGCTCTGCTTTGAGAACTAGTTCGTGAACGTGGACCTCATCGGTTGGTCTGTGCAGACCCCCTAAGACAACCCTGGGCGAGCGAGTCTCACGCGACGAGGACACGGGCTGCAGCCCTGTAACCTCGCAGACATAACTCCTCAAAAGGCCACGTGTCTCACAGAGAAGCATGCTGACCCCTGGGGACACGGGTTATGTCCCGGGAGGAGTCCCTGCGACAAGCCGAGCACGATGCTCTGTCTTGTCATCTTTAACTAGAGGCCCAGTGCACAAAATTAGTGCACAGGTAGGGTCCCTAGCAGCTGCCGGCTGGGGCCTTCCCTTGTTCCGCGCCGCCCTCTGGTGGTCAGTGCACATCATAGCAAGAGATCAAACTCCCAAGGGGCCACTTTGCATATTAGGCTTTTATATATATAGACAGGGTGACGTACGGAGTCCTCAGGTCTCCCGTCCCCGCACACTTCAGGGCACCTGCGCATTTCTCCTGGGAGCAAGGCCACCTGGGAGCTGGCACCCACCTTATTCGGGAACCAAACTGAGCCGAACCCTTTTCATGACAAAACCCGAGTATCGCGGTGAAAATCAGAAACATCTCCTCTCCCCCCCACAGAGAGACAGCCGAGGAGGAGCAGGCAATTACCTCGAACGTCAGCTTGTTCTTCTCCTTATCTGAGAAAGGGAACCTCTGGCACACCACATCTCGGAGGTACTCCTCCACAAACTCCATGGTCTGCGCGAACCGCTCCTTAATCTCATCTTTGGAGGCCCCGTTGCTGTCATAGCTGTGGGGGGGGAGAGGGTTTCAGCTCCGCCCAGGGAGGCCGCCGCTGCTGAGTGCCCCCACACGCCCTCCTTTCCCACTTTATGTCCTGTAGCCCCTGTCACCAGGCTCCATCTCAGTCCTTTCTCTTTCCCCACTAGCGGGCAGGCAGGGTCCCGTTCCACTGATAGACCCCTACTGCGGCCAGCGGACACAGTTACTTGTTGAATAAGAGAGAGGAGCAGGATATAAAAATGGAATCGTGCCATCTTTACATTCTTGAAGAAATCATCTTTGCCCTCCATTTTATGTTAAGCTTAGAAAAAGTAACTTCATCTGTTGTCTGTGGTTGACCAGACTCAATGGGACCACACGCGGTTTGTCACATGGAACAGCATGGACATGGGGCTGAAGGGGGCCACCGGTCAGGATGAGGACAAAGTGAAGGGGGTGGGACAAGGCACAGAGGGGCGGGGACAAGGCACAGAGGGGCGGGGACAAGGTGCAGAGAGGTGGGGACTAGGAGCAGAGGGGGGCGGGCACTAGTTGCAGAGGGGCGGGGACAAGGCAGAGGAGCCACTCACTCATCAATGGCGATCTCCGATGGGATCTCGGACCAGAGGCGGGCGTACTTCACGGGCGTGACCTGCTCCTGCGGGTCTCGGTCCACGTGCATGTGGAGCATGAGGCGGCAGAAGGAGGCCCTCAGGTCGTAGGGCAGGTTCTCGTCCGACATGCAGCGCAGGATGAGGTCCACGTCCAGCTGGCCGGAGATCTCGTTGATGGCCAGGTACTGGCGGTCCAGACACATCCTGGCGAAGAGGTTCAGCTGGTACCTGGAGGGAAGGACACGACATGGAGCTCACGCCCGAGATCACTGAGGATGAGTGGGGTACATGCAGGCCAGCCAGGTGGCCCCGGGTTTCACAGTAGTGACACACATCCACACCCCTAACCTGCTCCGTACACCAGAGTCCGGCCCTGGACCTGGCAGGGGAAGGGGCGGGGAAGCCAGGCCGGCCGTCACATGTGCCCTCTCAGCGGGAGGGATGGCGTGACCACCTGACTCCACGTTTATTTTATAAAACAAATGGGGGGGGGGTGTCAGGCTGAAAACGGTTGTCTACTTCGGCAGCTGTGTTTTCATTCCGTAGGTCAGAGACCACGTAGGAAAAGTTGACGACATCGCCCGTGTGAGTCTCATTAGCAACGTTCCACTGCCTCCAGGGCCCCATGGAAGGCTCCTCTCTGACTCTCACACATGGAAACGGGGTGTGAAATACGGGGGCCCCTCAGCACGCCTGTGCCTCCTTCCTCCTCCGGTCTCCAGCGGCCTGTTAACTCCCGAGCATGACCGCCAGGCACCGCTTCTCATTCCTGGAGAAGGCTCGTCATGGTTAGAGGAACGAACACACGTGTAACGTGAAGGAGGAACGCTACAGGCTCCGCGGGGCCAACACAGGCTCCGCCTGACGGGCCGTCGCCGAGCCCGGACACTGCCGCTCCCACTTGCTTCAGCATCGTTCCCTCCCTCTCTTTTCAAAAGCGTTTCTTGGTTTTCTCCCCTTTTCCTTTCCCTGCCCTGCCCTTGAGGTGGCCTGAGCGCCGGGACGCAGGAGACGCTGGGTTGGAGTTGGTGACGGAGGTGCCGACTGAGCCACAGGTGAAGCCCGGACGCCGCCAGGTGTCTCCCGACGGAGCGAGTGAGCAGAGAGGCCGGGATTTGAACCCCGGCAGTGGGCCTCTTCGCTGCTACGAAAGGCACGTGCCAGGCTGGTCACGGAGGACCTGCCCTGGTGACGCCACTCAGTCCGTCTTCTGACCCGGCCACACCCAGGTACCAATGACCGTGCAGGTGTGGCTGAAACCTCAAAATCTCAAATGCACCGTCTTGATGCTGGACGCCCGGAGGGCACCCGTGATGCCCAGAGTGACCACCAACAGCGCCAACGGCCGCCTCCGCCCCACGCCAGCGCTCACCGGTAGTAGCTAAGCACGTCGCGGTCCTCCTTCTGGCCCTCCTTGGCGTCCTGCGCCAGCTCCCGCACGCTCTTGCTGCGGGTCTCCTTGCTGCTGTCCCTCCAGAACAGCCACACCTCCTCCTCGTCCTCGCCCGCCTCCAGCGCGCTCTCCCCCGAGGACACCCCTTCGAACTCGAAGCGGGAAAGGACCAGCCTGGGGAAGGAACGGGCGGGGCAGGTGTCAGGGGGGAACCTCGCCAACCTCCCGCCGGCTGCAGCGAGGCCGTGGCTTGAGGCTTCACGTGACGACCCAGAAAGCATCTCCTGCCCCCGTGGCAGAACCACAAAGGGCCAAACACTAGTTTCTGCACATACTTGACCCCAGTGGCTCCCAGCCAGGTGACCTGCGATGCCTGAGACCTTTCGTTTGATGTAAAGGAGGGGGAGGAGGCACCATGGGCTCCCCAAGGGGAAGGCAGGGATGCTAACACCCCACACGCACGGACCGACCCCATAGTAATTATTCGGCCTCAACGGGAAAATGCCAAGGGTGCCAAGCCCGGCATTCGCCCAAACCCAACATTAAGTTATGCATGAGCAGCAAACAAACAAAAATCACTGATTCTGGGCGTAACTTAGTTTTGGGATTTAACACACAACTTGAGCCGAAACCGGTTTGGCTCAGTGGACAGAGCATCAGCCTGCGGACTGGAGGGTCCCAGGTTCGATTCCGGTCAACGGCATGTACCTGAGTTGCGGGCACATCCCCAGTAGGAGATGTGCAGGAGGCAGCTGATCAATGTCTCTCTCTCATCGATGTTTCTGACTCTCTATCCCTCTCCCTTCCTCTCTGTAAAAAATCAGTAAGATATATTTAAAATAAATAAATAAATAAATAAAACACAACTTGTCCACATTACTGGCCCTATAGTTCTCCTTCCCAACAGTGAGTCGCTGCTATTAACCCAACGCCTCTGGACCACTGAGCCCTTTGTGAACAGTGGTCACTTAAACACCTTTCCCAACACGGATTTCTATCGACACCAAACTGTCGCCTCCTCTGACATTTAAAATGGGTGATTATACTCCCAGGACTTCCAACTCTTAAGATTAAACCAGGCGGGTGTCGAATGCCCCCGGGTGAGCTCACGTTACTGTGAAAGCGGCGAGTGAAGTGCCACCGCGTGCCCAGTGGGCTGGTGCTGGAAGCCATCCACTGTCTACACTACTATGAGAGTGCAAACAGGGAACCCAGAAGGCTGATGGACCTTGAGCTTTGGCAAGGGCTAAAGCTATGCACCGATTGTTCTGTCCAGACAATGGTGGCTCAAGCAATTTCCTTACCTAATAGTCTCAAAGTAAATCTTTACTAATATTTACTGACCTTTAAGATGGTCTGTCTGCTACCGGACTGCCTGCCTGACCTTGGTCAAGATGTGTATCTAAAATTAAATAAAGAGCTAACAAGGCCTGGGCACCAGTGAAGCCTTTCCGCTGGAGAAAGACTCTGCCTGGCCCCCCATGATTTCCAAATTCATGTTTCTTGTCTAGTCTCTTCATTTGTGTGCAGCCCTTCTCCAGGTCCTGAACCCTAGCCATGCAGGTCTCGGCTTCCCACAGGCTGGCCCACTGCAGACCAGCCTGCAGCATCGGGGGTTCGGCTCTCCCGCCCACACGCACAGGCCCCCCGAGCCAGTGGCCTCCGCCTCCCCACGCACTTGGTCTCGATCAGGATGTCGGCGTTGGCTGGGTTGAGCACCGCTTTGCAGATGAGCTCCTGCGTCACCGGGATGGACTTGTTCATGGACACACACAGGTCGGACAGGTAGTCTAAGAACCTGCGGGAGAGAGAGCGGCAAGCATGTCCTGTGCACGGAGCGGGGTGCGGCTCGGGGAGCCCCACTCTCTCGGGGGACAGGTCCAACGCAGGGTGGCCGGAGAGGTGAGATCTCAGGTCTGGGTGCCAGAGCCCACGGCGCCACCAGAGAGGAGGATGGAGGGGAGAATAGTCCCCGGGGTGGTGGGGACGGGGCGCTGAGTGCACCCCCAGCGTGAGTCTTACTCGCTCCGTCCCGGTTTTACCGTCACCAGGGACATTACTTCGCCTCTCAGTGCCTCGGTTTCCCCGTCCACAGAAAAGTATAACGTGACCTCAGAGGTGATTCAGTGTGGTAACGCGTGTGAAATGTGTGACTGGCTCACTCCCTGGCCCAGGAGAATACTCCGTAAAATGTTAGTGTTTTGCCCAACTGGCACAGCTCAGTGTCTGAGCGTTGACCTATATGAACCAGGAGGTCATGGTTCGAATCCCGGTCAGGGCACAGGCCCGGGTTGCAGGCTCGATCCCCAATTGGGGGCGTGCAGGAGGCAGCCGATCCATGATTCTCTCTCATCACTGGTGTTTCTATCCTTCTCTCCCTCTCCCTTCCTCTCTGAAATCAATAAAAATATATTTTAAAAACTGTTATTCTTATGGGCGGGAGGAGTCATTCTTCAACAACACGCTCAGCGATGTGGGGGGGAGCGGGTGTGACGCCCACCCTGCACACCCTCCAACGTCGCTGGTGAGTGGGCTCACCGGAGGGAGAGGCGGGACGAGGGTGGGAGGGGAGAGCAGTGCGAGGAGACGGGATTCCACACGGACAAGATGCAGCTAGAAACACTCAAGGGGCAGCCGAGCTCGCCAAAGACTCTGCTGGTGCGACTGGGGTGGGGCTCGGACGGGTA